AAATGACCATGGTGACTCCCATTTAAATTATTTTCATTTCATTTATTGCCTTGTCTCCTAGGATCCACTATCCTCTGAGGAAGGCTCTTCCTCCTTGAAGGGAATTAGAATGTGTGGCAGCAACTGGCAACTGGAGCATTTCTTGGGATGCCTCACTTCCAGCCCAGGTTTGTCTTCTCTGATACTCAAGTGACATCAAGAGGGACCTATCCTGGGCTGGGAAGGTGGCTCAGTGGTAGAGTGCTTGCCTTGCATGCCTGAGGCCCTGGGTTCGATTCCTCAGCACCACATAAGCAAAAAGAAAAAAGCCAGAAGTGGCGCTGTGGCTCAAGTGGTAGAGCGCTAGCCTTGAGCTGAAGAGCTGAGGGACAGCGCCCAGGCCCAGAGTTCAGACCGCACCACTACCCAGAAAAAAAAAAAAAGAGGGACCTATCCTGTCCAACTCTGCCCTGCCCTGCTAAGCCTTGCCTAGCTTGATTCAGTGCCCAAACAGAGTCCCCAAAAATCAGGGGTGAGACAAAGCACTGGAGCATTTTGTTATTTGTGTGTTAGCTTTGTTTTTGAGACAGAGTCTGCCTATGGAGTCCAGGTTGGCCTCAAACTTATAATCTTCTGGCCTCAGTCTCCCAAAGGCTTGGTCTTACAAGCATGTTTCCGGTTGAAACTTTAATTTTGTCTGTAAGATTAGAAGGGGGAAGGAAAAGTAGGGGACTTTGGATAGACACGTTGCTGGTAGAAATGAACAGGTCCAACTGGAGCCCTTAGAGTTGGCAATCTAAAGTTTACAGGACCATCAACACTAGCCCCAAAGCAAGATAGTCAGCCACATTCCTCAGTAGAAGTGTTTGTGACTTGGGCACTCAGGAGTGGCCTGGCAAAGATACAGAGCTGGCTCTACTTACCTGACTCTTCTTACATCTCAGTAATCAGGAGGCTGAGGCAGGAGAATCACAAGTTTAAGACAAGCCTGGGCTCCAAAGGAAGACCTTGTCTCTGAAAACAGAAAAGGGAAAGATAGGCAGAGATATGAAGTTTTCTAACATCTAAAATATGAATTGAAACTATGCGCTCTGAAAATGAAAGTGTGCAGGTTTACCTAGGACTCATAAAAGAATTATTTTCATGACTAAGACTCTGAGAAAATCGCAAGTTGAACAATAAATACAAATTAACTCTATTTTCTTTTTATTTCTGTCTTGGATGGTCAGAGGGAAGTAGATACTGATTTGATGTGCTGATCTTTGCATGGATATAAACACAAAAAGACAGACCGACAAAAGTATGTATCAATTATCCATATGTCAAATACATAACGTATATATGGTGTAAATGCTGAAAAAAATGTCTAAATAATCAGATGGCATGACCAGGGAAGTCTGGAGCAGCCTGTCTATGCAATGTGACCTTTTGTGGTATCATCACAGCCCATTGTAGGGAAGGACCCACAGTTTTTACTTGGATGCCCAAGACAGCCATCTGCTCATACACAGGAGAGTAATAGAGCAGAAGTCATAACCACAATCAGAATTTCTGCACTCAGGCACTCCTGAAATATATTAGTCACATTGATGCCAATTAAGAGTAAGACCAGGCACTCCCACCAATCAGAAACTGCCAATACCCAGTTCAGGTAGCACACCTGCAGGATGTCCCACCCCCTCAGCACCAAGAGAGGAAAAGAAGCTATCATGGAAGAAAGTGATGAGAGGGACATTACTATTGCAGATGATCAGACCGCTCAGGTGGAGCACTTGAACTTGGTGACTTGAGGTCCCAGTAGGCCAAAACTGGCTCCAAGGCCAGTGTCTTCAGGCACTGTTCTCAGGAAGGAGAGCTTGAGTCCCGGGGTTCCAATGACCGGGATGAAGAAGCAGAGCTATTGCTTCTGAGATACGTCATCTGACCCTTCCTGCATCACAGGAGGGGATGTGTGCCCCCTCCATTCCCATTGCTTTCCTCTTACAGACCTAGGGATTCTGGGAAGTGCATGTATCCCATCTGTGCAGCCAGGCAGGACAGTAACCTGGACCAAGTCCCAGGTGAAGCTCTTAAAACCTTTGTGAACTTAGGCAAATCATGAATCTCTCTGAGCTCTGATATCCTCAGCTCCCAAGCAGATAGATGTGTCTTTTCTACATGCTGAAAATGTCAGCATGATACTCCTAACCCAGAACCACAATTAGCAGTTAGGATATTAAAGCAATATTGTGTGTGTGTGTGTGTGTGTGTGTGTGTGTGTGTGTGTGTGTGTGTGTGTGCCTTGAACTCAGAGCATGGGTGCTGTCCCTAAACTATTTTGCTCAAGGCTAATGCTCTACTACTTGAGCCACATCATCACTCCCAGGTTCTTTGCTGGCTAATTGGGGATAAATTTCTCCTGGACACCCTCCCCTGTCCACCTAACCCCCCCCCCCCCAGCGATCCCCACACATACACACAGCCCTCCCCTGCAGCCCGGTCTGGCTTCGAACTGCAATTCTCAGATTCCAGTCTCCTGATTAGATTAGATTACATTAGCTTATATTACAGGTGTGAGCCACTGGAGCCCAGCAAATACTTTATAGTTACAAGAGTAAGGGTCTGGGCTGGAGGATTTCTTATATGCCGCACTTGTCACTAGACTGGCAGCTCTATAACCTGGCAGTGATGAGGGACCTGGTCTCCCTTCCTTGGCCTGTCCCCTTCTCAGGGAATCTTCCAGATAACCCTGATGGACTGTTGATCTCGGTGAGTTGTTTGGGTCTTGCCTGGGCCCTAGAGAGAGTGCAAACCTGGATGCACACTGCTTGGGAGCTGGCCAGTTCCTGCAGACCACACCTCCCTCCTGCCTTGTGCCTCATCAATCCATCATCCTCTTAGCAGCTGACACCTCTGGCAGCGCCTCTTGGCAGCCCGGGCATTAGAATTGCAAGAAGCCCGGCTGCACTGGGGAATACAGATGGAGGAATCTCAGATTCAAATTTGTCTAAGTATTGTGAACAGCCAGGCCCTGGCAAGGCGTCTCCATTGCCCTTCCACCAAAGGGGAGTGGCAGGGGGGTTTTGTTAGAAGTACAAATTGCTTCTTAATGCAGAGGATAAAGCTGGGCTCCGGCACCTCCTTAGAAATTCCTCCTGCTCCTAGGAAAAGCCACCGCTGCATGTCAATTTTAATTTTTGAAATTTAAACTGAGGGCTTTGTGTCTAAGCTCCATCTCATCGGAGGAAGGGGAGGAATAAGTCAAAAAGGATTAGGGGCCCCGCTGGGGATTGCAGATCCATAGCAATTAGACTTCATTTGGGTCTCAGACATCGGGTTTTAATCGCATTTCTGGATGACACAATCAACAAGATATCAGAAACTGATATGCATGCAACTGTAGCGGTGCTGACTGTGTCCTCCCCAGTTCTTGGGTGCAGGTGGGCTCAGCTGGGTTTGGGCCCTACAATCAGTGAGGTAGAGCAGGGTAGGGAATTGGGGCGGGGGGGGGGGGTCTGTTTGGATCTGGAACTGCAGAGTGGTCATTTGTAGATAGCTAGTTTTCCCTAGCTGTCTTTATGCACTTTATCCGTGGACTCAAAAACTGGCATAATCATTGCTTATATTCAAGTGGATGACTATAAAAGATTATTCAAATAAAATAAGAGCGGAAAGAATAGTGACAGCACAGGACTCAAGGCAGGGGGTGTAATTGTTTTTTAAATGGGAATCACAGCTTTCAGCATCCTACAGAAACTAAAGTCTAGTCCAATGCAGTTTGGGAGCGGACGTGCAGCCAGAAATATTCTCATGCCCCACACCAGCATGGATCTATGAATACATGTGTAACATGGAGCATAGGGGGAGATCTATAGGACAATAGCCACCCTGAAGTTGTGTGTGTGTGTGTGTGTGTGTGTGTGTGTGTTACACAGATATGCACCCCTCCATCATAACCTCTGTGCACACATCTCTTTCTAACAACCAGTCAAAATGAACTCAGTAAGGCTAAGTGTTGTGGTGCAAGCTTGCTATTCCAGTATTTAGGAAACAAGAGAATGGGAGAAATTAAGGCCAGCCTGAGCTACCTAGCAAGACCCTCTCTCAAAAACAAAATGAAGCTGCAAAGGCAGTAGCAGGTTGTTAACGAGCTGTTTGGTAGACAATTTACCATTTGCTGGAACTCGGTGTTCCATAAACAAAAACAAAAAAGCAAAAAGCAAAAAATGTGAAACCACATGGGGTATTTTCCTACCCTGTGAGTGTAGAACACTAAAGGGGAGAGAGACAGAACCAGTCAGAACCAGCAGTCCCCCACCCCACTGTGAATCTAGAAAGGAACATGTCAGAAAAGGGCTATCACTCCCAGAGAGGCACCACAAGGTTTTGGGTAAATCCACGGAGCTGGAAGACCCACAGAGTTGCCTCCAGCTCTTTGGGGGAGATGTGGACCTTCCTGAGGTAATACTAAGTGGACATGGACTGAATGGGTTGTATCCCCCTCCCCCCATAGCTCTCCTGTGAGGCATCTACAGAGCCTGTTCAGAACCCAAGAGCTCACAGGACTTACTGGCAGAGAGGTCCTCCCTGTGGCCCCCTCTCCCAATCCAGGAGAAAAAATGCATCCAGATGGCTGGAGACAGACTCATCTCTGCCTTTCTCTAACCTGCCCCTTTCTCTCTAGGACCTCCAGCTGAGGAACCTCCAGCCAAAGGTGACCTGCTGCTCCTCCTCTCCCCACACCTTTTCACAGGTGGCAGGGCATGGCAGTGGCTGCAGAGCAGGACAGAAATGGGACTATTAGGAGTCTGTTTCAGTTACATGTAGCAAGGTGGACATGGGCAGACCCAGTAGGGGCATGCTGACAAAGACCACAGGAACCCATAGTCTAAAAACATAATTTAATGCATTTCAATGAGTATGAATCAGGAAGGAGTGCCGTGTGTATGTGGAAAGGTGGATTTTCTATTTTCTGCAATTCTGCTGGGAATGAATGAGCTGTTGGCTGATGGACAGGAAAATCTGCACAAGTATTCCGGGTCACAAAAAGGGAAGCCCCAGGGAGCTATGCTCTTGTGGGCCTGTCTCCCTGGTGGGGCCTGGAGCCCTTGGCCTGGGGCACTGGGAGAAGGAGGAGGGTCTGGGAGAGGGCAGACTCCCTCGCCGTCTGTCCAATCCAATCACATTGCAGTCTCTGCGCCTCCAGGGCTCGGGTTCATGCTCAGCTCATACTTGGACATCCCCTCTCCCTTCCCAGGTTCGGCACAGGAATCAGGGGCGCAGTTTACAGCTCGGTGAGTCACAGACACACTGAGGCCAGGAGCGGGGCAAGGAGGACAGCAGGGATGTGTCTTTTCCATCAAAAAGATCAGGAAGTGTCATGAAGCTGAAGAGTGGCCCTCACCAAAGAGCCGCGCGCTCCCGCGGGAACCTGGCAGCTTGAAGCCACCCAGCGTGTGCGCGCACTCCCTCAGCGCCCCTAATCCGGGTACAGAAGAAAGCCCGAAAACGTGCTGTACTTGTTGTTATTGCCACCGTGCGCCTTCCCACCGTCCAGCTTCACGTACACCTCGTCCCCCGAATCCAGGTGCAACACCACGCTGTTACTGGCGTAGTCGTAGTTCTGGTCTGCGTCTTGAGCGATGGCGCTGGCTCGGACCTAGGGGCGAACCGGAGGAGTGAATGAGCCAAGAACCTTTCCCTGAGGCCTGAGCGGGCCTCTAAGTGGTGCGGGGGAGTTGGGGTACGGAGACGGGTACTGGCCCTCCATCTGTCTGCAACTTCTAGCCCACACTCCCTCCCCAGCAACTTGATCTCTCCAACTTAGCCAGTTCCTTCCCCTCTCCGCACCCAGGATGAGGGCTGGAAGGACCCTGACCCAGAGTGGAAGGGTGGGAAGCCGGGGTCAAGGTCAAGAGGAAAGGCGGCTGGAGGGCAAGGGGCGACTCAAGCACAACCGAGCAGCTTCTAAAGAACACTTGAGGTTTCCGAGGAGCTCGTGCGATTCCATGCGGGAACGCAAATTACCAGGGAGCGCACCGTTTGGGTAGCTGGGGGTCCCTGGGCGCCAGAGACCCAACCTCCCCTCCGGCGGCGCTACTTTCCGGTTAGCGCAGCCGGAGCGCAATGGGAAGCCAGGGCTGTGGCACCGAGGCGCACTTCTTCCCCGGGCTTGCCGGTGGGGAGAAAGGGAGCTCGTTCCCTGGCGGTTCTCAGGACGGAAAAGGACCTGCTGACCTGCTGAGAGGATGGGACCCAGCAGGGGTGGGGAATCACTGACCTGTCCGTTCTTGCAGAGATCTGCCCACATGCTGGTGCCGTCTCCGCCGCGCATGAGGATGTGGTAGGTGAAGAAGTAGATTCCTCGCACCTGGCAGCTGAACTTGCCCGTGGTGGGGTCGTAGTGATTACCCAGATTGGTGACCACGTCGTCGAACTTGAGCACCTCGTAGCCTTCGTGGGGGCTCTTGAGTCCGACGTAGAAAGCGATCTTGGGGCCACTGAAGGCGGCGCTCAGCGCGCTGGTCACTTCGCCCTCGGGATCGCCGCCGCCCCCGGCTCCGCCGCCCACCACTCCGACGCCACCGGCCGCGCTCGTTGTCAGCTGCAGCCCGGGCAGCCCTGGCCTTCCCGAGTCGCCCTTCTCCCCTGGAGGGCCTCTGGGCCCAGGCGGACCAGGTTCTCCAGGGGGACCCCGGGGCCCTGGTTTGCCAGGTCGCCCTGGGTCGCCCTTGGGTCCCTGGATAAAGGGGGGCGGAGGGTTGGCGCTGAGGTCCTGCATGACTTCCAGGGCAGCGGTGCTGGGTCCGGGCGGCGGCGCCTTGGCGCCCGCGGGGCCCCCTCCGGGCGCGGCGCTGTACGGGTCGCAGATCATGCGGCAGGTGCCCATCATCTCGTAGTGCGCCGCACCGGGGGGCGCCGCCTGCAGCAGCAGGGGCACCGCGATGAGCAGCCCGAGCGCCATGGCCAGGAGTACGCCGACGGCCGCCAGGCAGGCGCGCCGCCGCCGCTGCCACAGCCGGGAGGCGACCGCCACCAGCTCCTCCTTGCCGCCCGGGGAGGTAATGGTGGGGCGGCGCGGGTGGCCCCGCTCCCCGCGCTCAGGAGCCAACTCCGCGGGTCCTGACCGCGTCCCCGACGTGGCGACCCCTTATCCCCACCACCCAACGACTTCAGCAAGAGGCGTCCCGGCCCGGGCTCCGGTTCCCACCGCGCTGAGACTGCTCTGGAGAGCCACGGGGCCCCACACGCATGGCGGAGGGGGCGCACGGAGCGAGGGCGGGCAGCGGTGATCACGGAGGGCTGGGTCCGCAGGTGGCGTCCGGTGGCCACCCCCCTCCGCGCCGCCTCCTGCGGGGTTGGGCTCGGCGGGGTCCGGCGGGGCTGGGCTCGCGGCGAGGCGCCCGGGCTCCTCGGCGCCGCGCCTCTGCTCTCCCGCGGCTCGCGGCTCCCGCGCGGAGGGGGGACCCAGCTACCCTGACGTAAGGAGTCCGGGGCTGAGCGGCGGCGGAGGCGGCGAGGCCGCGCGCGCTGCCATCACTCGGGAGACGGCGCCCTCATGTCATCAGCCTCCCGTCCTCCTATCGGGGCGCCGTCCTCCGCAGAGGCGGCAAAAGCCTGTGCCTCCTGGTGGCGCCGCGGAGCCACAAGTGGGCGCAGCCCCCCAGCCAGGGCGCCACGGACACACCCCTGCTGGCCACACGCGCCTCCCACCCACGAATCCAACGCGCAGAACACCCTCGCGTGCATTCGCAGGGCGCACACAGGCACCCGCAACCGGTCCCGAACGAACGCGCGGAGAATCCGGGTACCGGATGGTCCTTTCGAGGTCCCCTAAGCCCTCCTCCTGTCTAAACAGAACCAGCCTCACCCCTGTTAAGTCCTGTACAGGCTGGAGCCTCGGGCTCCACAGGGTACAACCTTCTGACCGTCTCCCGAGTTTCTTCAGAACTGATCACAGCTCACTCCTGGACGCGCTCTCGTAGACTGCAGGCTGCAAATTGCTAACAGATGTCAGCAGAAAACTCCTTCCACCAAGTCTTGGAAGGACTCCTCGAAAAAGCCCCCAGCCCTCCCTCCCAGCACAGGGATCAGGCTCAGTCGGACCTTTTTCTGCCGCCAGAAAATAGCTGGGGAGTGGGGAACGGTGAACAAATGCTAACACTGTATTCAATACACACTATGGCTGGGTGCCCCATAGCGCCCGCCTGTAATCCCAGTCACTCAGGTGGCTGAGATCTGAGAACCATGGTTCGAAGCCAGCCCAGGCAGCAGAGTCTGTGAGACTCTTATCTCCAATTAACCACCAAAAAGCCAGAAGTGAAGCTGTGACTCCACTGATAGAGCACTAACCTTGTGCATAAATAAATTGAAAAAAATAGCTGGGTTTGTCCTCTGTATAAAATTCATTTGAACTGAGGGTGAGGGAAGTGATGACAGTGTCCGAAAAGAAATATACTCATTACCTGATGTATGAAACTGTAACCCTCTGTACATCACTTCTATAATAATAATTTTTTTTAAAAAAAATGAAACTCATTTGGAAACACAGGTGTTTGACACCAACATTTGGGGTGATCTGGGGCACTCAGCTTCCCCTGGGAGCTGCCAGGCAGATGCATGGTCACTCCCTGGGGGTCACCCTAGTTCCTTTCAACTTCAGCAGGCTTAGTCATGGAAAGCAAAACAAAGCAAGACAAAAATACTCCATTCGGATCCCAAGTCTTAAATAAATTGTAGCTCCAGATTAAAGCTGAATTGTCTATCTCTAATGCTACAGACAAAGATAGAAGAAAGGAGAAGCCCCTGTGTTGGGACGACCTCCAAGTCAGAAATGGCCTTTCCCATGTAGGAGGCTCAGTGTTCTTGCCCTAGAATGGGGGAGAAAAAGTGTGGTGTTGGGGAGAGCAGGGAGAAATGAAAAAACCCAGCTCTGGCTCTGCCCCTCCAAAAACACAGGTAGCTTTCTTGAGACCTTCATTTGTCAGGCTTTATGCTCTTTGTCATTCTGATCATTTCTGTACCCCATTCATGGTTACCCCAAACTCTTCCTTCACTTAGTGGGCCCTCCTTATTATCCCTGGGGAGGAGAAACCCAGCTTCACCTGAAGCCAGTTTTACCCAGGAGCCAAGACAAAAAAAAAACCCTCATGTTTCTTGGCAACTTACCATATAGCAGGCTCTGCTCATGCACTCTTTTGTTCTTTCTGAAAATTGTGAATTAATTGATGATTATTCTCCCAACCTATCAATGTTGAAAAACAAATCTTTGACAGTTTGAGGTGTTTGCGCAGTGTCATCCACCCATGGGACAAAAGCGGAATCTTCCTCCCTTCAGACCTAGGACTCTCAGAACACAGTGTGGCTCCTGGCCACAGATTTCACTAGTTTGCTTCCTCCCTTCCCCGCCTCAGGCCATCTCTATAACAGGCAACTCCAGGAACCCTATTCTCTGCTTCCAATGCTGGCTCTGTAACTTCCTGTGAGCCCTTGAGCAAATTGCTTCACCTCTCTGAGCCTCAGGCTCCATGTGTATAGAATGAGAAAAATACCTTCCTCAAAGTTAGTATCAGATTAAATGAGCTAATGTAAAGCCTTAGAACAATGACTGACTTGGTTAAGTTAGCTGTTATTATTAACTACTGATGCTTTGTACCTCCACCATGTTGTTTAATGATGTAACATGAAACAAGCAGGCAATAAAAGTAGGATGCTCATGGGGGTTTAAGATTAAAAAGCCACAAGCTGGACACAGTGGCTTATGCATGGCATCCTAGATACTCAGAAGGCTAAAATCCAGAGGATGGTGGTTTGAGGCCAATCCAGGCAAACAGTTCAAGAGATTCTATCTCACAGAAAAGGCAGGCTGCCCTCACTCCTGTAGACCATCATTTTGCCCTTGTGGGAGCTGGGATTTAAAAAACAAACAAAGAAGGGCAGATGCTAGAGGCCTCCCTGGCAAAGCAGCCGTTCCAGGCCTCAGTTCTTCCCCTGGAGCCCCTTTGGCTTTCAGGGAAAACTACTTCCTCCAAGGCCAGCCACCCACCAGGTGGCAGGTCTGGCAGATGAGCAGGCTGGGCAGGTGTGCACCACCCAGCAAACTGGGAGTCGGAGGCCCTACCCTACCCCTCTCAACCTTGAGGGAGTGGCCCTAGAGTATGTGACACCCCCTCATTCCCCTGACTTCTGCTTCTCCTGAATGGTCTGTCATTGGTGACCATCTTCTCATCAATATTAATTACAAACCTCATCAGCATATCATCTTCCATTTAGCCCATATTCTTGTATTTCAAGGCTCACTCGAGACTCACATCTGTTCTATATTGCCTTGATTACCAGGCAGCATTCTTTCTATCAATGGTCCTTAATAGCCTACTATGTGTCAGCCAATCATCTTTGCCCTCTCCTTCTCATGAATCCTATGGTTTCAGATGACCCCTGCCAGCAACAAGCCCCCTCTTATTCTCACGCACATCAGTGTCTTTAATCTGGATACCTGTCTCCCCACTCCAGATATCCTTCAAGTCCTCCCCAGTGTCACCTCCTTGTCTGAAGCCCTCCCTGATTTCTCCCTCAGTGGAGTTGACCAAATCTACCCACGTGCCCCCTTAGAGCTCTCAAAATGTACCCCTGTCATCAGATATCAGACAACACAACACCTGTTTACTTTTTTGCCTCCCCACTAGGCTCTGAACACCAATCGGGCAGGAATCAAATCATTCATTCATTCGTGCATTGTGTCATTAAGTTTTTTCATTTGTAACTGGCCCTACTGTATGTCAGACATTGAGCTAGTCACAATGTGCATAGTAGAATCATAGCCCCTTCCATCCCAGCTGTTCTACAAAAGTCCCTGGACGCCCCCAACCCCTCCACCGCCACCTCTTTCTACCTGTCTTACTTAGGTTTGCATCTACAAAGCTACTATTGGGCATTACTGTTCCTTGACCTGATCTCCTCAATTTAGATATGTGCCCTAGCTAGGCTTTTCAGACACATTATCTTGAATACCATAGTTAGTCTCCTGCCTCTGTTCCCAAGGGGAAAGGCAGCAAGTGGTGCGGGCAGGGAGGAGGCACAGCCAGATCACATAAGTCTGTCACCTACTGTGGTTTGGATTGCTGTCTCCTGAAGGCCTATATGTTTGATTAGTTTGGCGCCTAGCCCTTGGGACTATGGGAAACAATGGAAACTTTTAAAGGTATACACTACTGAGAGGGTTTTAGGTTATTGGGGATGGGTCCTTGAACGGGATTTTTGGGTTCTGAGTCTCTTCTTTTTTCTTTTTTGCATCCCAGCCAGGAGGTGAGCAGATTTGTCAAGTGCCCCACCAAGATGTACTGCCTCTCCACAGGCCCCAAAGCAATAGTTCAACTGATGATGAACCCAAACCTCCAAAACTGTGAGCCAGAATACTCTCTCTGTCTCTGTCTCTGTCTCTGTCTGTCTCTGTCGGTCTGTCTGTGTCTGTGTCTCTGTCTCTGTCTGTCTCTGTCTCTGTCTCTGTCTATCTCTCTCCCCCCCCCCCCCATCTTTCTTTGGCATTACTGGAGTCTGAACATAGGGATCCATATACTTTCTAGGCAGACACTTTACCTGAACCACTCCCAAGCTCTTTTTATTTTAGTTACTTTGGGGATAGAACTTGTGGTTTTTCTGGCCTGGATCTGGATCCTCCTACTTATGCTTTCTACACAGCTGGGATCACAGATGCACACTACCACACCCTGAATTTATAGGTTGAGATAAAATCAAGAGCTTTTTCCTTGGACTGGCCTCAAGCCACAATCTTATCTCCACCTTTTGAGCAGCTTGGATTACAGATGTGAGCTTCCACCCCCAGAAACCTTTTCTCTTTATCAGTTTGTTTGTCCTCGGTATTTATTACAGTAAAGGAAATCCACTCAGAATCCATGTTTAGAGGTGTGGGTTTTTTTAACCTTTGGTCCAATAGAGAATATGTGA